TTGCGCCTCGAGGCCTCTTCGGTAAAGGAATCCTTCACAGCGTCCTTCGATGAGAACGCCATACCCATCTCCAAATTGGACGTCGGATTATACACTGGCATAGGGACAAAGTCGGGGGCATCATTCTGACTATGTAAAAATTGAGTTGGAACTTGTGTGTAGTATGGCGTCGGTGCCTCACGAAATAGCGCCTCGTCGTCGTTATCATCAGTATCTTCCTCCTCTCTCACTGATCTCAAATCTTCCTCAGTATCATCGTCGCTCGATTCGAATGGATAGCTCGGCCCAGAAGGATCAACATGACCACCATCACCAACATCGTCTTCTCGCTCATGTGAAGTACGCCCTGCTCGAATGGTATTCTCGATTTCAGCCGACTCAGGCCCCCAAGCAGGCCATTGAACACCATCGACAGGTTGATCCTGTTGCGAGTATTCTTCGATGGCACCCATCATGCACTACTACCTCCACCGTAGTTGATTGAACTACCACCCTCTCTGTAACCTCTTGTATAACCACCTCCTTCGTAGTTGCTCGAACTACCACCTCATCCGTACCCTCCTGCAAAACCATCATCATAAGAATACTGGTGAGAATGAGTTTCACCGACCACCTCGGACTCAACATACATCTCTGCTTGCCGCATCCCGTTATCGCTTAGGAACTGTAACATCATCGTAACCGCGTCATCATCGTTTATGACAACTTCTTGGTACACAAGCCGGCCAGTACTCATACATGGATACCGGTAACTAATTTTACCAAGTCTCGTTTGTCCGCTCATACAAACCCTGTCTGCACAAATATCACAGAGTTCTTGAAAATTGAATCGCGAATCAATTTTCAGCATAGTGGATACACCATCCTCATAATCAATCCCTATGTCAGAGTTTGTAACCCTTCCATTCCATCGAATAATAAGCTGAAACTTATTGAATTTACCCATATCTACAATTTACAATAAGTAACTATTAGCATAATTCCAGTAATTCATAACATCGGCCATATTTCCTACAGTAAGTAATTCATAATATAACAATATAACTACTAAAAACACCATTAGGAATTAATACGAAATTTATATCATACCGAAAATTCCTATTCTGTGTATGTTGCTCGGTTTTGGCTGCTGAAATTTGAAGAGGGGGGGGGATTACGTTTTTACAACTACTGGTGAGAGTTGTATATATAGGAAAATTGGCCTGACTTCACCGTTTTTGACAAAAACGGTGAACAACATCACCGCGTCTGTCTCAAACGGTGAACTCTAGGTGGTTGTGACCTAATTCTCACCTAACAGGGATGGGAAACGTGGGAAACAATCACTGTCTTAGCCTGGGGCGGTGAAGATGTTCCCCGCTTTGCCCTAAGACGGTGACGTTTTCGCCGCTTTTAACTTAAACGGTGATGTCTTGTTAAACGCGGTGAACACTTCACCGCTTTAAACAAAGACAGTGAACACGTCATCATTTTAATTTAAACGGTGAAATGTTCACCGCTTTTGAAAAAGGCGGTGATTATATTCACTGCGTTTGTCAAAAACGGTGAATACCAAACATGTGTAGTTTTGGAAATTTTTTCTAACTTATGTATTTTGGGAATTTTTTTAAGAACATGTGTACAGTGGGATTTTTCCCCCTCTCCGGTGATATGTCTCGACTTTTGAGCCCCCAGCCCCTTTTTCTCGGCTGCAACTCCACTCACCTTTGGAACACTAATACTTTTGAACCCAGAAATTTAATAAAAATCAGCATCTGTACTTTTCAATTCCTATTTCCCTTTCATCAGGGTAGCACGGGAAATACTGATTTGGTTGATTCAAGTACTAGCAGACGGGATTATCCTCTTAAATTTAACTGAAACTTCTGCGTTATGTTCATTCTAGGGCCCTCGCCGAAGGTAGAACCCGTTGTTAGTTGCACTAGGTTTCATGCATTGAAGGGCCGGAGGGAGAATCCATTATGACAGGAGGTTCCAAGCCTTGGAGGGCGTGCGAACGAAGGCTCTCTAGCAAGGTTGTTAAGCCCCTACCGAACTCCCCGTCGTACCCGGTCGACCTAATTCGGGCTTCAAAACGGCCTCCAAAAATTCCCCCGGTAGTATGTTAGGTAAATTTCATTTCAGCCATTAAATTTTTAATTACTACCATATTTGTATATATATTTAGAAAACGTCTAAAATAGCTCAAACCGACCGGACCCCTATAAGACCATTAAACCTCAAACCCCTTACTTGACCGACTCAATAACTTAAACCAGTTTGACAACCTTGCTCTCTAATCTCTATGGAGGTTTCGTCTTGTGGCCAAGGAGAAAATATGTTGGGATTTTTGGGTATATGTAAATGAGAAAGGCATTTATTTTTTTCTTTTCATAATAGGAAGGGATAATAAAGAAAAGGGTTAATATATTTGTATGACCTGAACTTTGACCAAAATAAACATCTTCACGGCCAATCTTTTCGATCTATAACATCCTGACCCGAACTATACATCAAAATAACGAAATTGGCCAAATTCGATGTTTGACTGTTAACTTGGACGGTCAAACGTGTTGACTAACGGTCAACGCACCACATCATTGCCAAGTCAGCAACTTTCAATTAATTTTTTTTTTAATTTCCACATATTATATTTTTGCCTTTTTTCATTGTGAAAAAAAGAGCATTTTCCTATTAACATCCATTTTTCATTATCACCACCGTCCACCGCCTCGGCCTTCAAATGGAGATGCTGTGGTCGATCCTCTGCTTCTTCATCGCCGGCACCGGAACAACCGAGTTACACCTCGGACACTTGGGGTTGTTCTTCATGATCAACACGTATGATAAGCACCCAGGGCTCCGCCATAGGGAAAGAAGATGTCGCTGCCCTCTCCCCTGTTTCTTCCTCCCCTGAAGCCAGCTCTCTAGTGGAAGACGACGACGACAAGTATGAAGGGACCAACTTTGACATGATTTTAAAGAATAAAGAACAAACAAAAGTCCCTTTCGGCTAAAAGCCCCACTACCGAATTGTGATGCAAGCTAAAGCAGAAGGAGAATTATTCAAATGGGGAAACATGACTGAGATCTGAAAAGGGTGTCGATCCGAATCCACCAACCCATGACGCTGAAGCTTGAACTAGTGGGGATTGTGTTGGGCATAAACCCTAGATCCGGAGATGGGTTTTAGGTGTGTACCTTTGGGGAGATAGACGTTGCGGTAGAGGTGATAGATGTAGAAGGACCAGACGAAGCCGGAGAGGAAGTAGAGTACCGGCGTTATGATGCGTTCTTCCGCGGCAGAGAAGGAATCGTCGGTGGTGAAGTCGAATACCGAATCGGATGCGTTCTTCCCAGCGCTAGGCCTTCCGGCGTTCGGATTGTTGCGGGTCCAATCGGCGATTTGGCCGAGCTTCTTGCCACGAGAGAATGGAGCGAAGGGGACGTTGAGCGGGAGAGACAAGGAGTTGATGGTGGCCTTGGTGGTGTCGGGAGGACCCCAGCCATCGGGATTGAACAGGACTACGCCGACTTCGAAAGCGATTTTCTCCGATTCGAATAGTGAACCCTGAGGAATCTCCGGCTGAATCGAAAATCCTAGATGAAGGAAAAGAGGACGAGAGGTTTGGGGAAATGCTATTTTTTTTTTTGTTCAAAAGGAAAAATTAGGGATGGCAACGGGTCTGGTTGGACGCGGATAGTGCATATCCGTTACCCTACCCAAAATAGTTCGGGTTTTACCCATACCCATACCCACTAAAGAAATGGGTAGAAAAATTAAAACCATGCCCAAACCCGTTAGGATTTCTGGTATCCACGGGTATCCATGGGTAATAAATTCTCTTTATAACTCCAACAAATATGTTAACATCCACACGTATTCTCACATTACATAAGAGGAAAAACACGACAATTATTCACTAGAATGAAGAAAATTCATTAAAACAACACAATTGCATAAAAATGTTATATTTATATGCTAAATGAAAAATATGTTAGAGAAAAATAATGATTTTCTAGACAAAATACCTGTGCATGTGTATAATCGGGCGGGTTCGGGTTGGATAGGGCGAAAACAATGCCCACCCATTACCCCCAATATTCAGGTTCGGATTTTATCCATACCCACTAAAAGTCCTTCGGGTTCGGATTTTACCCTACTCGATTAGGTCGGATTCGGACGGATATCCACGATTGCGGATATTTTTGCCATCACTAGGAAAAATATAATATGTGGAAATTATAAAAGTTTTTAGTTATTACCAAAAAAAGTTTTTAATTGAAAATTGTTGATTTGGAAATGACGTGGTGCGTTGACCGTTAGTCAACGCGTTTAACCGTCGCATTTAACGGTCACTCGTTATTTTGATGTATAGTTTGGGTCAGGATGTTATAGATCGAAAAGATTGGTCATAATGTTTATTTTGATCAAAGTTCAGGTCATACAAATATATTAATCTAAAGAAAAATAATATATTTAATAGTTTATATCTTCGTTTGTTGGAAAAAAGGGAACAGATATTAATTTTGACAGTTTTGTCATTTACCCTCTCATTTAACTTTAATTGGATGCTAATTTGGATAGAAAGGTATGTTTTTTACATTTTTGTTTTAGAAGATTATGTTTGTGAAAATCAAAATAAATGTATGTTTGTTAATTTGCAATAGTAAAGGGTATAAAACGCTATTAATTCATTTGTTTTAGCCTAATAGATCCAACCGGTTGAGCTCCAAATGTTTCAATTTTTACATCCTCACTGTTACTCGTAAAGTGTAAGTCGCCATTTTGGATGGAGAGAGACATGATAGATGGAACCATAATGGCCAATGACAACTTGGTGTGCAAGCCACCAATTGATTTATAGGCAAACGGTAAAAACCAAGTCAGCTTATGATCTAGCTCCAAATAACAACACAATTTATTAATCCAACCTTCCAATTCTAAAGCCTCAAACACAAAATAAGTAAGTGTCTCTTTCTAGTAGCCAAACCACATTATCTCCCTTTTCATCATCGGTTTAAAAACTATGTGGGATAGGAATCAGAAACAGAGGCTTCTCCTTATGGGTAGTAAGCCCATATACTTCTTCCATATCCAAATTCTCACACCTCAAACCCTCTGGGAGCTCCCAATCCAACCAATACAACAAATTCGCAGTAACAAACTCCAAAGTCACCGTCCCGAATGACATCCCTGGGCATCCTCTGCGCCCAGCCCCAAACGGAATGTACTGGAAATCACGCCCCTTCCAATCCACCGGACTATTCTCGAACCGCTCTGGGATAAACTCGTCTGGGTTCTCCCACACTGTTGGATCACGTTGGATCGCCCATGTGTTCACCAGGACCCGAGTCCTGACCGCAATTCCGAAACCGGCAACCTCTACGTTGTCCAGGGTTTCGCGTGGGAGAAGGAGGACAATCGGTGGGTGTAATCGTAGGGTTTCTTTGATAACCAGTTTTAGGTAGTGCATTTCGGCCAGATCTTCATGCTCGATCACTAGCTTTTGACCCACAACTCTTCTTATCTCTTCTTGTGCTTTTTGGAGTTTAGATGGGTGTCTTGCAAGATGTGTCATTATCCATTCTATAGTTGTGGATGTTGTGTCTGTCCCTCCAATCATCATATCCTGAAAAGACGAGTAAATACCTATTCATTAACACACACAAAAATTGCTAGGAAGTATTTTGACCGAATAGGCCGGAAGTATTTTAATAGTTTTTCAATTCAAATGCATTTTTTGAGGAGGGGGAAAGAAGTCAAAGAAGTGATTACCACTAGGATCGCTTTGATGTTACCCCAGCTGAGATCGAGATCGTGGCCGCCTTCCCTCTGTAGCCGGAGAAGTATATCAACAAAATCCTCCCTCTTCTCGCCGTCTCCGCCCACCGTCGTCGCAGCCTTGGCTTCATGCTCCTTGATTACCTCATCAAAATACTCATCCATCGCCCGGAACGTTCCTTTCATTCTCCCGATCAATCCGGTCGCCTTGTCCACCCAACGCAGCCAGGGGAACCAATCCCCGACGCTGAACTCCGCAAATTCCGAACTCACCTTCTTCGCCACCTCCCCGAACCCCAATTTCCCGCCGCCACGACCCTCGCACCGCCTCCCGAGGACGCACCTCGCGACTATGTTGTTGACCACGCCCAAGATCAGCGCCGAGACGTCCACCGCCTGGCCCGATGCGAGGCGGAGCTTCTCCACCAGGGCCGCCGTCTCCTCCCGCCGCACGGGCTGGAAGCTCTGGACTCGGATCTGGCTGAGGAGCTCGATGACGCACAGCTTCCGGGCCCGGCGCCAGTAGTCGCCGTAGGAGGAGAAGGCGAAGTCGTTGTGGCCGTTTAGGAAGATGTCAACAGCGATGGGCCTGGGCCGGCCCGCGAAGACGACGTCGTGGGTCTTGGTGACTTCTCGGGCCATCTCTGCGGAGGAGATTACCAGTGTCGGGACCCGGCCCAACTGGAGCAGCATGATGGGCCCGTGTTTCCGGGCCAGGGACTGGAAGGAGCGGTGCGGGCGTCGGCCCAGCTGGTGGAGATTCCCGATGAGCGGCAGCGCCGGAGGAGAAGGCGGGGATGGAGGGAGTCCAGCGTCGGTCTTCCTGCCGTAGTTTCTGGTGAGGGTTTTCTTGAGCAAGAAAAGGAGGACGGAAGAAGAGAGGATGATGGATAGTAGAAACTGAATCTCCATCCTCCTCCTGTGTGATTTGATAACTGAAATGAAAATGGGTCATTCTCAGTCGTGGCTTACTCCACCTATTTATAGCAATGAAAATTTGGACAAGCCTTGTTACTATTTCTGTAAGTTCGATTTAAGTGAATGACAAGCCTTGGCATCAAACGTGAGAGCTCTACCATCTCAATAAAATAAAGACAAGTCTGGAATAAATATAAGCGTTAATGCTCGGCGGCAATTTGGAATCCTCCTGTTTATTACGTTTTCATTGCACATAATAAAGAATTATCCAGCAACGAAACGACATAGTTGGGTAGAAATGATTTGTCGGATCCTCATGGAAGAGTGTCGTCCGTGACATCCCTGCTATTTCGTTCAGCTGGAACCGATACAAACGAGTGTTGTTTGATAAAGCAACTAGTTAGCAGTTAAAGACAGCAGAACGGCCTGCCTGAGATTGAAGTTGCTAGATTGCAACGTTATAAATGTAAAGTTATAGCTAGGAACGACGAATAACAAAGACAACATCAGCATTCCTCGTCGCATTTACCATCGGTAGTGCGCCTTGTTGAGAAGAAAAAACGTGCCGGTGATCATATTGTTGTTAATCATGAACTGATAGTTCCAACAATAAGTAACCGCACGTGTATCTTGAGGCATGATTAATGAGCGCTTGTAAAATGCTTTAAAGCATGGGTGTACAAATTACAATAAGAAAATTTATATTGTCATGTTATGGTACACATGCAATGTATACCATTACATAAACTAGATTTGGGTTCGCCCCGTTGGCAGGATACTTTTCATTAATGCATAGTAACAATCTCAGTATTTGATGGAATTAAATTTTATTTGGTATAGAAAAAGAGTCTAAATTCCCTAACTATTGGAAAATCAAAAACTCATATAAAATATAATTTTTGGTTAGTATAGTTTATCTTATCCAAATCATGAACATTATTATATATTCACTCTTTCTCTCTATCATTGAAATTTATATCTCCAATATCAACAGTCTCTTTTATTTCTCAAATCGTTATTATCTCCAATACCAAACACACTAAATCCTAATGACAAATTAAATATTAGTAATTGTCTGCATAACTCGAAACTGGAACCTGAACCTATAAACTGCCAGCAGAGGTAAAATATTTAGTCCAAAATTATATGTTTAGTGGGTACAAAGTTCTTTTCTCGAAATTTGAAGTTAAAAAGAATGAAAAAGTAAAGATAGTATTACATAGTAGGTGTTGTCTTTGATGTTGTTATAAATTCCCACATAATGCACGTCATAGTATTTGTTAACTTTTTTCGTTAGTAATTTTCAATTATCTTATATGAAGAAGGAAATATAGTTTGTAGAAAATTAGTGAGAGATCGAAAAAATCCTAAGTTGCAACGCTTGAGATTCCCTTTCGGGGTTTCTAGCTAGTTTTTACTTATGAAAGGAGGGTGTTATTATGGTGTTGAGTGTAGGGTGTTATTATTATTCTCTATCTCTAATCTATCTTCTATATATGGGATGTGTGGGTATTGCATTATCGGTCTAGTTTAGTGTGGTCGCTTTGTCGACATACTTTCTAACATTCTTCTTCATATGCATATATAACATATGATGAGCTCGTGAATGAATGAATACAGAGAGATAGGTGTTGCTCTCGAGAATGTTTCAGTCTCCTCTTTTCTCTTTTCTCTTCTCTGTTTTTTACTTTTGGTTCCTTTTGTTATTGAAAAGTTTCTTCCCTTATTTAGGGATGTCGGCCCTTATCATGAACAGTGTCGCACCTTATCGTCAACAGCTGCTCCCACAATCGATCCCTTTTCTTGTTCTTGTTCTTCTTTTTCTTCATGAGATTGAAGTTGATAGATAGCAACGTTATATGTAATTTTATAGCTAGGAACGATGATAACAAAGACATCATTAGCATTCCTGATCGCATTTACCATCGGCAGTGCGACTTGTTGAGAAGAAAAAACTTGTCGGTGATCTTATTGTTGTTAATCATGAACTGATAGTTGCAACAATAAGTAAACGCAGGAGTATCTTGAGGCATGATTAATTAGCGCTTTTAATATGCTTTAAAGTATTGGTATACAAATTACAGTAAGGAAATTATACTTTTATTTTATGGTACACCTGCAATGTGTACCATTACATAAATGTACAAATTCAATTTGTACCATAATGAAATTCGTACAAAAGAGTAAAAGTAAAACATAAAGTTGTACAACTTGTACAATAATAGGTACAACTTCAATTTGTACCAACAAGGCAAACAACTAAAGCATCAATGCTTTAATATCATGCAATAAGTTGGCAGGCTTCATCGTAGAATATTATATAGCGTGACGTCTCAATAGGACTTTTTAATATAGTGCAATAAGTTCAGAGAGCGTTGTCCAATTTGATAGACCAGTTCTTATGGGCTTCCATCGTATTTTGAATTTTTTTAAGTTCTATGTTGGTTAGTTCCACTTGCCTATTGGTATGCAGATGGTAGGCCATAGAATGTTGATAGGTCACCCCAGATCGAGCACATACTTTGTTGAATTGCTTTCTTTGACATCTGATAGTGGATCTAGGCTCTCCGAATCTGATGAACGACTTCTAGAGGAACTTAGCAGCAGGGCATACATCATTGGTCATAAGTGTTTGGGTTTATGCTCATTTGGAGATGAGTCCATGGTGGCAAGAACATACATATTATCGAACGATGTTGGGAATGCACAATGAAGTCGATAGCCCATATGTGAAAATTTTCAATTGGTTGGAACAGAGCCTGTGATATTTCATTCATGCGAGAGATACCTCGTAGACGTTGTCAATCGTCAAATTACTTAGCATAGTGATCACAATTATGGGATATGGTTGGCCAATAGAATCAACAATAGATGAGCTTTAAATTTTAGTTAGGAAGGTTGACGACACTACCAACTCCAATTCAAGCCAAGTATAACTCGAACTAGCAAAGTAGTATGGGGAAGTCTTATGGATCCATGGTTTGGTCAACCACAAGATACCCACACCTATGGTGGGTCAAACCCTAGAACTTGGGGAGGCACACAAAAAATCATCAATCAATATAAACATAGATAGATAGTTGAAACATAATCAATATGCTACAATCTATAGAACAAATCCCAAACAAACATATAAAGAGTTTTACATCTAACCAACACTAGGGTTTAGGGTTTAGTTCAGAGAGAGAAAGTGTACATAGGGGAAGAAGAACACCAATCTAGAGCTAGATCCATATTCTCTTTCTTACCTTGGTCACCCTTGTTGAATCTTGGAAGAAATTGGGTTGATTTGGTGAAGAAATCTTCCAAGCTTGTGTCTCTCCCTTTAATCTACCCAAACTCTTGTTACTCTCCATAGGATGCCTTCCTTCACTCTAAAACATACCCCTTTTATTTATAGATTGGGAAGGACAAGATCGTAGCCTACTAACCAAAGTTCATGACCTGGATCTTTTGACTAGAGGCGGGGAACTCTAGGAAGGACAAGTTCTTTGCTATTAACTTTTGACAAGGGGCACTGAACTTGAGTTCATGGCCAGAGACCAAAGATCATGGTTGTGGTCTTTTTCTCGCGACCATGAACATTTTCTCGCAGTCTAGCTTTCCATGGTTGTGAGACCTTCTATACTCATCATTGGCTGCCTTTTGGAGTGTTTGACCGTTAACTTGATTCTCGTCTTCTTTCCACCTTATTTTCACCCTTCAAATGACTTTCGATTGACACGAAACTTGGTACACCCATTCCTTGACATCTGGGACCTGAGATTAATAAAAAAAACCACAACCTAGCCTAGAATTGGATACGAATGGACAAGTTTCAAACCAAATAACCAACGAACGATAAATGCATGTTATATCTTAGAGTATGATATTAGGAAGCAAGTATAGCATGGAAGGGTATACAAACACCTAAGAAATGGAAGGGTATATAACACCAATTTAGGTGTTATCAAACCCCCCCCCCCCCCCCACACACACACACACACACTTAAGGGTTTATTTTTTCTCAAGCAAAGATGTTCTTAATTAGTGCAACTCTGCTCTTCCTAGCCATTCGTATGGAGGGTGAATCGTTGGGAGTCAATTGTGTCAACTTCCTAGCAACTTTTGATGAGACAAATTTCCATTTAATGAGCTTAATTATGTCTAAAAGTTTGAAAGGGCAATGTAATCAAGTGAGGGTAGATAGATGTATGGTGCCAAATGAATTCATTGTTGTAGGTAGCCCGAATGACTGGTCTTTATGGTTCCTTTTATCACTTTCCCAACAACTCTTCATTCTCTTCTTAATATTTTGTTTGAGGTTGTAGCAACATTGAAAATTTCTAATTTGCTTCTGACCGGGCAAGTAGAAGTCCTTATGCATTTTGCTTTTCTTTCCTCCTACTTATACCTCGGTCTGTGTGGAGGGTCAATACATGAAAATGACCAACCTTTAAATGGCTTCGAACTAACTCTGAGTATGGTCCCAATGTCCATCACCCTCTGATTAGAATGCAATAGGAAGTAGTCACTTTCGTGATTTACTACTTAGGATTTTTCTTTGAAAAATCCGATCAGTGCCTCACACGCAAACCTTTGTAAAGCTACAACCCACTTTATTCAATTGTAAAAGCATACGTTGTGGGAAAGCACAAAGTCTAGCTTCATTCAATCGAACTACAACTATGAATCCAAGTTTTCACACATACAAACCCTTCTAGGATCACTAGTCATGCACATTCCTCTAGTCACATCGGGAAATTAATCCATCCAAACATCAAATCGATTCATCTATAGCGCTATACTCGCCTCATTACCTCATACTTAAGCAATCAAGTGAGATATATTTAAACCAACAAAACGAACTTTAAGCAAAGAGGTTGCTCGTAGCCCTCAAATTTGAAACTTTTGGGTGTATATACAAGGCTCCAAGTAGTCATAAATATGCAATCATCATCATTCATCATCACCACAAAAGGCAAGCAAAACATACAATCCATTCACAATTAATG